TATTGCAATGTTGCAGTTAATCTTGTACAAATTTGTGGGTGCAGATGTGCAAGAGTTTCTAGAGCAATTTTTTTGTGTGTGGTAAAGCTACTGGTATTCTGGATAAGACTATTTCCTGTCCTTCCACTGACACATCGTAGGGAATCTGGCACCTCTGGCCTCCCAGCTACCAAGAGCCTATAGCATGTCAGCCACGTTGGCAATCAAAACAACTTATTTCCAAACACACTTTAAGAAGCCCAGTTGAGAACTACTGTTTTATAGTATGCATCTAGAATTAGAATTGTTGGGCCACGGGTTATGTGACTGTTCAATTTTTACTTATAAATATATTGGATTGTTGTGATTCAGAGACAATGATGGGTTCCCATGTATAAATCCAACATACACATAATTTATGTTATACAGCACACTCATATCCTATGTAACTATATGTATAGCCCAATATACTTCAGGAACTCTTCACACATATTTAACACTATTGTCAATGACTTAAATAATTCATAGTTTTACAAAAGGATCATGTTTCACATTTTATTAAGAACATGACATTTTCTGTTCTTTTTAAAATTAGTCTGATATTACATATGAAATATGACTTCTACTTAAACAATTTATGCACAAGAACTTCTTTTATTAATGTATCTCAAATTAATTTTTCCTCAACAGCTCTGAATGCTTGCTGAAAGCTTTTACATGTTCAAAGCATTCATGTGGTTTCACTCCTATGTTAATTTTCTAATTCCTATTCATTATAACCTATGAACAAATACTTTCCTACATGTGTTAACACCTTAGGGTTTCTGCCCTATGATTTTGCTGATGTTCAACAAATTTGGCTTGAAGATGCAGGTTTCTGCACATGGAGGGTGTTGATGGGAATTTTCTTCTTGTGTGTTTTCCTTTGATGTTTGGTGAGAGCTGACCTCTGGCTGAAGTTTTTTCTACATTCATTACATTCATAGGGTTTTTCCCCTGTGTGAATTCGCTCATGTTTCGTGAGGGCTGACTTTTCATAGAAGGTCTTCCCACACTCAGGACATCTGTAGGGTTTTTCTCCTGTATGAGTTCTCTGATGCACAACAAGGTTGGATTTTACACAGAAAGATCTCCAGCATTCATTGCATTTATAGGGTTTCTCACCTGTGTGAGTCCTTTGATGTTGAGTAAGGTTTGATTTCACACAGAAGGTTTTCCCACATTCATTACATTTATATGGTTTCTCTCCCGTGTGAGTTCTCTGATGTACTGTGAGGGCTGATTTCTGGCAAAAGGACTTTCCACATTCATTACATTGATATGGTTTTTCTCCTGTGTGAGTTCTCTGATGTTCAGTGTAGTTGGACTTCACAAAGAAGGATTTTTCACATTCTTTACATTCATAGGGTTTTTTCCCTGTGTGTGTGCTCTGATGCTGCGTGAGATCTGTTTTCTTATGGAAGCTTTCTCCACATTTATTACAGTCATAGGTTCTCTCTTTTTTGTTAGCTCTCTGGCTTTGTGTGAGTTGTGAGTTCCTACCTGAGGCACCCCTACTTTCATTACATCCATTGATTTTTTTCTCTGAGTGCCTTCTCTGATGTTGAGTGCGTTTCAACTTCTCAAAGAAAGGTTTCTCACATTTATTATCTTTACAGTTTCTCTCTCTTGTTTTAATTCTCTGATTGAGTGTGAGGCAAGATTCCTTCTTTAAGACTCTTTCACTGTCAGTACACTTGCTGGGTTTTCCTGTTGTGTGGGTTCTCTGATGTTGAGTAAGGCATGCTTTTTCATGAAAGAATTTCCCACATTTCTTACAATCATAGATTTTCTCTCCTGCATGAATTATCTCATTTTGAGTATGGTCTAACTTCTTCAAGGCTTTCTCATTTTCATTACACTCAACAGGTTTTTCTCCTGTGTACATTCTTTGATGTTGCGTAAAGTTTGATTTCTTGCTAAATTTTCCAAATTTATTACATTCAGAGTGTTTCTTCCCTGGGTGAATTTCTTGATATGCATGTTTGGACTTCATGCATGAAGATTTCCCATTTTTATAGGGCTCATGTGGCTTTCTTTCCCTAAGGGTTCTTGGACAAGAATTGAGCTTTAACTTTGGGATAAAGACTTGTCCATATTCATTTCTTTCTGAAGGTTTCTCTACTGTGTGAGCTCTCTTATGTGTAACAAAGGCTGTCTTTCTGTGAAAGGCTTTCCCACAATGATTATATTCAAGAAGTTGCTCCAAAGATGAATCCTTTTGATGTTGAACAAAATTCTCATTATGACTGTAGGATTTCTTCTTTCGATCATTTTCACAGGGTTTATTCTCTGAATGAGTTTTATTATACTTAATATCAAGGAAGTCACACCTACTAAAATCAACTGACTTTTTTCTTACATAGTTTATATTATTAATAATGAGTTCTGAAACACTTTTCAAGCTTGTTCCAAATGAGTCACATTTATGGGATATTTTTCTTGAGGGCACTGTGTTTGTGGCCATACTAAGTGCTTCCCTTAAGGTTTTACGTCTCTCCTTAGTCAGTATTTTGTTGTTGATGAATAAAGCCTGCCTCAAATATTTGCCTTTATTTTCTTGACTTGTCTCTTTCATGTTATTGGCTTTCTGAACTTCTAGAAATATGAAAAATTAACCATACATTATAAATCTTAACGCATTTCTTAAGGAAGGAGGTTGTATGCAAGTGATCTATGCTGAGTTGATCCTTGAGTTTCAGGCACAATATCCTGGGATAATAGAAGTCCTAAACAAATATTTATTCTAGTCTTTGGATGGGTAATATGAAAGCAAAGATAAAACATGCACTATAGAAAAAAAAAGAAGAAGACAAAGTCAAAAATTAATACATATAGCTTTGGCTTGTTACAAATATGCCCTTAAAATGGATAAATCTTGGAATAAAACAATAAATAGTGAACTGAGAACAAAGGATGTCAGGAAAATGATTAATCCAATTGAGGATAATCAAAGCATGGGTTAAAGATAGAGGACACAGTAGGGAGACAATAAAGACTGAAGGGTTATCAAAGGAAGTGTCAGAGCACAGATTATGTTTGGAGGCAAAAGAAAGATTACATCCTTCTCTTTCTCTCTCTCCCCTATACCTTAATTGCTGCAGGAGAATCCTTACTTTACTCTACATGCCTCTAATCTTTTTTTTCATTATGCACAGCAACCCTAAATTAAAGTTACAAACTCATTCATTTCCTCAAGCCTAAAGGTCAGTCCTATAGTTCAGGCCCCATCTCTCCATGCAGCTTTGATATGGAAAAAAAATGTCCAAAGAGAATGTTAAAATATATGAGAGGATAAGCCATCCTTGCAACAGGATCCATTTCATCCCCATATTCTGATTGTTGGTGCTACCACCTGATTCTATTAATCAACAGTAATCTGTCTTGTTGGCCCAACCTACTTTTACCTCTTTCAATCTGCTGATTTGTTTTACCAATGGTTTGTATCCTGTTATAATACTGTTTTTTTAATAGAGCATTTTTTTTTTTTTTTTTTTTTTTACATTTTTTTTTTTTTTTTTTTTTTTTTTTTTTTTTTTTTTTTTTTTTTTACTCTGTCACCAGGCTGGAGTGCAGTGGCATGATCTTGGCTCACTGCAACCTCCAACTCCCTGGTTCAAGCAATTCTCCTGTTTCAGCCTCCCAAGTAGCTGGGATTACAGGCATGTGCCACCATGCCCAGCTAATTTTTGTATTTTTAGTAGAGACAGGGTTTCACCATGTTGGCCAAGATGGTCTTGATCTCCTGACCTCGTGATCTGCCTGCCTTGGCCTCCCAAAGTGCTGGGATTACAGGCATGAGCCACCATAACCGGCCAAAAGACTATTTTTAGGTCAGTTTTACATACATGGCAAAATTGAGTGGAAAGTATAGAGGTCCCATATGTCCCTTGCCCCCATATATGTACAAAGTTCCCAACTATCAACATTCCCCACAAGAGCGGTATTTTTAAAAAATGATCAAACCTACATTAACAGATCATAATCACTCAAAGTTCATAGTTTACATTAGAGCTCACTCTTGGTGTTGCACATTTTGTGGAGACAAATATATCTACCATTATATGTGTGTGTGTGTGTGTGTGTGTGTGTGTGTGTGTGTGTGTGTGATCTACCATTATAATATCAGGAAGCATAGTTTCACTGCCCTAAAATCTATACTCCGCCTAGTCATCTCTCCCTCCCCTTTAACTCTTGGCAACCACTAATCTTAACTTAGTCTGCATAGTTTTGCCTTTTTCCAAATGTCATATAGCCTTTTCATTTCAGATTAGCTTCTTTTACTTAGTAATAGACATTTAAATTTCCTCCATTTTTTTCATGGCTTGATAATTCATTTCTACTTAGTGCTGAATAAAATTCCATTGTCTGGATGTACTACATAGTTTATTTACCCATTTATCTACTGAAAGAGGTCTTAGTTGCTTCCAGGTTTTGGCAATTATGAATAGAGCTGCTATATATCTCCATCTGCAGGTTTTTATATGGACATAAATTTTCAACTCTTTTTAATTTTTTATTTGAGACAGGGTATGGCTCTATACTCAGAGCTATAATGCAATGGTACAATTAGCTCACTGCAGACTCGAACTCCTGGGCTCAAGCAATTATCCCACTTCAGCCTCCTGAATACCTGGGAGTACAGATGTGTGCCACCAGATCCAGCTGATTTTTTTGTTTGTTTGTTTTGGTACAGAATCTTGTTATGTTGCCCAGGCTAGTCTTAAACTCTTGGCCTCAAGTGATCCTCCCACCTTAGCCTCCCAAAGTGCTAGGATTACAGGAGTGAGTCACTGTGCCTAGTCTTAATTTTATTTGGAGATAGGGTCTCACTCTGTTGCTCAGGCTAGAGTGCAATGGCACAATCATAGCTCATTGCAGCCTCCATCTCCTGGGCTCCAGTGACCTTCCCACTCAGCCTCCCAAGTACCCAAGTAGCTAAGACTACAGGTGTGCACCAGGATACGCAGCTAATTATTTTTTTATTTTTATTATTTTTTGCAGAGACAGTGTTTCACTATATTGCCCAGGCTGCTCTTGAATTCTTGGTCTCAGATGATTCTCTAGCCTTGGCCTCCCAAAGTGTTAAGCCACTGTGCCTGGCCAACTCTTAATTTTTAATTCAGCTTTCATATGTTTTATTTCTCTTTGGTTTCTCTTTTCTGTGAGAACACAAACACCTGGCTACCTAACGTAGTCCAAGGACCTTCGTTGAACTTTTTCTTAGTAATTTTGACTATCGGTGCTATTATCCTTTGCTATCACATTGTATGCAATAATATCAATTGTATACTTAAGAGCTTAGGATTTTTCTATAGTTCATAAAATAAATAGAAGTCAATATAACAACAAAACATTTGATATTAGATTTCAATGCTTAGATATTATACTAGATTCTTTTTTTTTTTTTTTTTTTTGAGACAGAGTTTCACTCTTGTTACCCAGGCTGGAGTGCAATGGCGCAATCTCGGCTCACCGCAACCTCCGCGTCCTGGGTTCAGGCAATTCTCCTGCCTCAGCCTCCTGAGTAGCTGGGATTACAGGCATGCGCCACTATGCCCAGCTGCTTTTTTGTATTTTTAGTAGAGACGGGGTTTCACCATGTTGACCAGGACGGTCTCGATCTCTTGACCTCGTGATCCACCCGCCTCGGCCTCCCACAGTACTGGGATTACAGGCGTGAGCCACCGCGCCCGGACTATACTAGATTCTTACATCTAAATTCACAATACATGTTCAAATGACCATCTCGTAAATCTACAGTATTGTTAGCTCCTATCAGATCAGGCTATGTAATTCTAAAATTCTTCATTTTCAACTATAAACCTCCCTTCCTGTTTTTCACTTAGTACACATTCTGTCCTGAGCCCTCCTCAGAACCTAGATGTCCTTCAAAACAATGCTACTACTGTTCCATTGTTTAAAAAGTAATCTCCTCACCACTTGAAAGTTTTATTCAAGGAAAATTTTCCAAGTAAATATTGTCTGTACACTATATCTAACACTGTTTTCCACAGCACTGGTTTGCATGATGTTATTTTCTCTATAAATAACATCTATAAGCAAGCCTGACTTTCATTGCTTTAGGCAGATTTTCCACCTTCATATATATACACATATATATTAATATAAATCCTTTATATATATTAATATAAACCCTTTCTATATATAATATATATTCATATATATTATATATACGTATTATATATTATATATGATTATATATGTTATATATATAATATACATGTATTATATATATATTATGTATATTATAAATAATATACATATATATTATATATATATTATATATAATATACATATATATATTATATATAATATACATAATATATATATATATATATATAAAAAGGATTTCAGCTGCCTTAGCATTTCAGCTGTCTCCAACTTCCAGTGAAAATTGAGTTGACATTTTGTTTTGTATTTTCCTTGTGGTTTTTGGTTACTTTTCAGGAAAAGATGAGGCAATGCTGAACTCTACACTTCCACCTGCATGTTGAATCTCACTCTTTTCTTCTTGAAACACCTTGTTCATGCTCTCCTGGTTCTCCCTCTACCATGCTGGATGGTCCTTCTCAGTCTCTCTTGCTAGAGATTTGTGTTTTCCTGACTTGAAAATGTAGTGCTTAAAGGTATAGGCTTTGCCATATTCTCTTACTTATTATCTCACTCAGGGAAACGGAAAGTCTTACCAGGCCTATAAAGCTCTCTCCCCAGCTAACTCTCTAACCTTATCTGCTTCTTCTCCTCACCGGACGTCTTCTGGTCCACTGACTTCCCTGCTGTTCTCTAATTACACCAAACACACTCTTTTCTCAGAATCTTTACACCCGCTATTCCCCTGGTCTGGAAATCGCTCCGATAATCCATGGCTTGCTCCATCCCTTCACTGAAAACTCTATTCCACTGTTCCTATTTAAATGTTCGCCTCTATAAAGAGGCTTCTTCTGACTTCCCTTGCTAAAACAATACTCTCTAGGAGTCTCTGTCTCTTTCATCTGATTTTTTCCTCATGTTGATTACTACATGGCTTATTATGTATTTATTTGCTGACTGAATCTACTGACAGGAGTAGAGATGTTGCTTCTCTATTCTCTGTGCTTAGAATGTGACTGGTACATAGCAGGTCCAGAATAAATATTTGTCAAATAAAGGAATGCACGAAAAAATGCATGTTAGATACCAGAGAGAAAGTGAACGATGGCCATTGTTGGACAGAGAGAAAAAAAGACAGAAAGGTCTAGGATGAGGAATATAGCAACTGGATTCTACAAAAACCAAGAAAGTCTCTTCCTAAAAGTCAGACAGAAAAACAAAAAACCTTTATATATGAGAATATTTGGAGGTTTGATATTAAAGGTATGGTGGTCATTTTTTTCTATTACTTCTAAAAGCCTGGAGCCTCTAAAAGAGATTTCTAAAATATATTTCAAAGAGTCTAACACCTGGACTGGCCACTTGGGATCTAATTTCCCCCAGCTTCTTTATATCTGACTTCAACTCACCTGAGTGGCTCTGACTTGGTGGTTCTCTCTTTAATATCCATGGTTCGTCTCCTTGCTTCAACTTGACTATCAGCTCAGGTTTGGTAACACAGTGCCCTGTTATGGGAAATGACATGAGACTTGGAGAAGTTGCTTAGGGTTCGGGCTCTCTGAAGGACAAGAAGGGAGACACTCTAGAAGCTACACAATGGTGGTGTCCAAATGTGCTTCATCAAAGTAGATTGTTTCACCAGGGAAGTAAGAATACAATCATCTTCAAAGTACCCTCAAAGAGTCTTGACTCCCAAATCTCAAACATAAAATTCATCACTCTCTACAATGATTTGGTTCCTAAGATAGGAAATGCATGCTGTTTGGAGTTGCATGGGAAGCTGGGCTTACCCAGTGATACCAGGTGCCTGTAGTTCTCCAGCATCACGTCCCTGTACAGGAGCCTCTGGGCAGGGTCCAGCAGCTGCCATTCCTTCTGGGTGAAGTACACAGATACATCCTCGAACAGCACTGAGCCCTGTAATGGTCCAATCCTACTCCGTCAGAAGTGCTCAAGACTCAATGGCATGAGAAATATATATGGGAAGCAATCCCTACCATATTCTCTGTTAAAAGTTTACCAGAAAATGTTATAAAGGCTGTCTGACATGTACCTTCCTTCAGGTACATTTTATGGGGGAACAGAAACCATAATAGAAATACTAGGCCTTTATGCTTATTTACAAATCCACTTATTAATTCATAAAACAACTGGAGTTTCCTCTACATGCCTGGAACTGTTCTAGTTGCAGAGGAGACTAAGGCAAAGAAGACACTGGTCCTGTTTTTAAGGCTCTTCAGACTGTTGAAGAGACTTTCTATACAAACATACACATGAAACAATGAATTATGGAAGCCATGAAAACAATGTGTGGTCAAGGTAGAAGGAGGTCACAAAGCGGGAAAAAATTAATCCTCAGGTTATTCTTCATCAAGGAGGGTAAGATTTAATTGCACACAAGCAGTTAGTTTTGTGTGAACACGGGGCAACGGCATAAGCCAAGGTGCGGATCATGAACACACGCCTCAAATGAAAGGAATTAACAAGGTAGTACAGGGGATAGAAGAATCAGGTTGGGGACTTGGGAGATAAAGAACAATAGAGGTGCTCTGTGGTCAGACAGAGGGATTTTAGACTTTCTCCTATAGACCAGTGGCCTCCAAAATATTTAGTTGCTCGGTAAAAATCTGAGCATCCCTCGGTGTATTTATAAATTATTTATATACACCACTCTCAGCCACTCACCAAAAGTAAAGCTTAACAACTTTCTTAGTTTTGTTTTAGATGCAAAACAAAGTTAAATGGATATTCTAATACTTTCTTTCCATGCACCATCTGATTGTCTTGTGCAGTTCTCTAGAGTACACGCCTCTACTTAGGAGATAAGTAATGTAAACAAATTTATATTTTGAAATTAATGCACTGGGGGCAGAGTGGACAATGCTTTGAGGCAGTGGTTCTCAACTAGTGGCAATTTTATCTGGAAGCATGTTTTGTTGCCATGATTGAGAGGGGTAGGGTTGGGATCTAGTGAGTAGAGGCCAGAGATACCACTAAACATCCTACAATGTACAGGGCAGCCCCTACAACAACAAATTACCTGGCCCAAAGTGTCAATGGTCAAGGTCAGGAAACTCAGTTTTAAAGGGAAGTTAGAGAGGAAGATAGTAGACTAGTGTGAGAGAGACCACCTGTCTTCATGTAGCAGCAGTGGGGATTGAGAAGCCTGAACTGATTCTACACGGAATTAACTAGATGTTGGTTATACAGTGAAGGGCAAATGGAGCATTGTTCTCAGGTTATCATGAGAGCAGCTGGGCTGATGCTGGTGCCATGCACTAGGATTGCCAAAACAGGAGAAAGAATTGGGCGGAGAAAGAGACTGAGAGAGAGAGAGAGAGAGAGAGAGAGAGAGAGAAGCCTGGGACATGTTATACTTAAGATACCTGTGAAACATATAGGTGAACACGTCCAGTAACAGTTGCATATAAGGTCTTAGAGCTCAGGAGAGAGAGCTAGTATAATGACAAATCTTTGAGCCAGGCACAGGGACTCATGCCTGTAATTCCAGCACTTTGGGAGGCCGAGGCTGGTGGATCATTTGAGGCCAGGAGTTTGAGACCAGCCTGCCAAGATGGTGAAACCCTCTCTCTACTAAAAATATAAAAATTAGCCAGGTCTGGTGGCAGGTGCCTATAATTCCATCTACTTGGGAGGCTGAGGCAGGAGAATTGCTTGAATCTGGGAGGCAGAGGTTGCAGTGAGCTGAGATCACTCCACTGCACTCCAGCCTGGGCGACAGAGTGAGTCCATCTCAAAAGAAAGAAGAAAGAAGAGAGAGAGAGAGAGAGAGAGACCCAAAGAAGTCACTGAAATCTGTTTTGCCCTCAGTAAAAATTACCTAATTCATAATGTGGTTGTCAGAATTATATGAGCTAATCCAAGTAAGGAATTTAACAGTGACTGGAACATAATATGCAGATCTAAATTGTACATAATAGTAAAGCTGATCAACTATTATAATTTTGGCACTTTATCTTCAAACTTGTAACAATAAAAATGACCAAAAAGTATATATTCTAATACAAATTATTATTGTTCCAGTAGCTGGAAGGTGTGGTGTAATAGTTAGCAAAGGATTCAAAAAATAGTTATCACATAAAAAAAAGAAAGTGAAAAAGAAAAGTATTTAGATGATTTCTGAAATGACAGAAGAGTGTATCTTGTTTACGTATACTATTGATGAAAAAAATTCTGATGTTGACAGAAAAACATGTTGAACATATTAACAGTAATCAATGATAATCAAAAACAGAATAAAGATAAAATGTGGACTTTCAAAAACACTGGAAGAGAGAAAAAGAAGGTAAGATAATAATGCAGGAAAAAGTCAGGAAGTGAAAAAATGAAGAAAAAAATGGCCAAAAAAGCATGGTTACTAAAAATGCAAAGTACCTCTTCAGTTTCACTGGAAAAATTGAATAATAAGTAAATAATTCACCTGGGATGTGTTCATTTTCTTCTGATCCTGGAAAAGTTTAGAGAACTGTGGAGGCAGAGCTGTAGGAGGGAGAAGGAGCAAAGAAATAATGAGAAATCTGCTCTACTTTGAAGGTCTTCTTAGCACATGCCTAGAAATTCACATATATCTGCTGGCAAAATGCTGAACCATGGGAAAATTTCTTTTGACTCTTCAGAAGTGGCAGGTAGAAGTTTCCAGAGGGGACTCTTATAACCCTGATATAACCACTGGAAGCTAAGACAGTCAGGGTTTTCACTGGGGAAAGCAAATATTTGTTTCTTACAAACCTCCTTGGATATAGCAGCAGAAAAATATAAACCACACAAAATCCAACTAAAGAGGCCTGGTTAAACAATCATGTTACAACAAAGGATGAGATATCATGCCATCTGTCCTATTACCACACATATTATGGACTGAATTTTTTGATGTCTGATTGATTGATATTTTACAATTATCCAGCAGAGGCAGGTAGTAATGGGGAAAGTGTACACATGTGTGTGTGTGTGTGTGTGTGTGTGTGTGTGTGTGGTATATAGATGAAATAAAATTGTCCAATGCTGGAGCTGTAACAAGCACCTGGGAGTCATTTTATCATTTGACTTTTGTATGTTGTGAATATTTCCATAATAAAAAGCGTAAGAAATGATATAGCAAAAACCTTACCAAGGTGTGCTCATTTACTTTTCAACTTATATTTTAAATTCCTTGAGGTTAAAGAATTAACGGGAACCTGTGACAACAAAAGTACTTGCGCTTTAAGGGAGTCTATTTAAAAAAGGAAAATGTTTGTTCTCCTCTGGTTTCAGTGTCTCCAAATATTTTTTTTTACTAAGAAACTTGTTTTGACTTAACTGAGACAGATGGACAATGGCCTAGGAGTCAGGGGGCTTGGGTTCTTTTTCTGGTTCTGCCACTAACATATAATGCAAGCCTAGATTACAATAATCTAGTTATAATAATATTAAGATACTGGCCGGGCGCGGTGGCTCAAGCCTGTAATCCCAGCACTTTGGGAGGCCGAGGCGGGTGGATCACGAGGTCAAGAGATCGAGACCATCCTGGTCAACATGGTGAAACCCCGTCTCTATTAAAAATACAAAAAATTAGCTGGGCATGGTGGTGCGTGCCTGTATTCCCAGCTACTCAGGAAGCTGAGGCAGGAGAATTGCCTGAACCCAGGAGGCGGAGGTTGCGGTGAGCCGAGATCGCGCCATTGCCTGGGTAACATGAGTGAAACTCCATCTCAAAATAATAATAATAATAATAATAATAATAATAATAAGATACTGGCAATACTTGTAGTTACTATATAACAGGACTTGTTCTAAGTACTTTGTAGGTCTTCTTTCATTTAATCTTTAAAATAAAGCCAAGTATTGCTACTATTATGACTTCCATTTCATAGAAGAGGAAACTGAGGAGAAGACTGAGCAATGTGGTGGAGCTGGGCTTTGAACCCGTGCAGTCCGGCCCCAGAAGCTATGCACTTAAGCACCATGTTAATATTTTTCACTTTTAAAATGAGGCACATTGACATAACCCCTGAAAAGCTTCCCTGTACTCCTATAAAGTCAAGAGTAGGTAATGGGTAGCATGTCCCTAAACTCCAGATGTGCAGATGGGCGGGGTTTGAGGGCTCTGCAGAATCTAGGAAGAGGGCTGGAGCATTAGGGGCATGGGAGGAGTTTCCGAGAGAAGTGGTGATAGTATTTTCCCCATCTGTCCTCACCTGGGTGTTCCTCCTCCCCCGCAGCCGGCCTCCTGCCCACCATCCTCAGCCCAGCTCACCATCCTCAGCCCAGCTCACCATCCTCGGCCCAGCTCACCTCTGTCCTTTGACAGCTGGCCCACACCTTCGCTGACCAACGGTTCTTGGCAACCTCTGAGATGCTGAGTTATTCAGGGCGGAAGAATCGGGAATTGCTTCAAGAGCAAGCAGTTAGAGATCTGCCTGTTTTCCAGATGTCCTTGGTGCAGCTGTGTGCATTTTATCAGAGAGGGTGGGGACCTCCCAGGTGGGATTCCTGCTTCTGATGTCCCCTCCTCACAGAAGCAGGGTGACCCTGGCTGGGGGGAAGGGGGAATAAATTCAGATAACTGGGACCTTCAGCCGGGTTCCAGCTCTCTATTGGAGTTCACCATCTCCTACAACAGCGGCTTTCAGTGTGGACCCCAGACGAGCAGCATCAGCATCACCTGGGAACCAAATAGAAAGGCAGATTCTTGGGCATCTCCCCAGACTCACTGAATCAGAAGCCCTGGGGGTGGGACTCAGTCGTGGGGTGGGGTTAACAGGGCCTCCAGGTGATGCTGATGCTTATATGAGTTTGAGAACCACTGCCTGCAAATCTCCCTTGGGAGCCTGAGAACTGCGGAGGGCACAGAGAGATGGACTTTGAGGCGCCCAGAGGCCTCAGTTATACAGTATCCCGAGGGTTCTGCAGAGAGACCAAGAAATCTCCAAGAGCCTTAAGGAAAGGCTCAGTCCCTGCACACTCTGGTTGGCACGTAAAGACATGCCACTCTGCTAAGTGCTGTGAAGCACTCGATTTGGAAACAAAACCGTTTGAGGCTTGTATCTCAGATCTGTCACTTGCAAACCATGTGCCTTCACCTCCTGAGTCTCGGTTTTCTTCTCAGTTAAAATGGAATGGGTAACACCCACTTTACAGAGGGTCTTTGATAATCAAATGATACATCGAGTGAAAAGAACAGCAGGAAAGGCAGGCCACATTTCCAGAGTGCTTAGAAAATGCCAGGACCTGTGCGCAGTGCTTTCCAGGTGCTCTCTTGTTCAACACTCAGAACGACCCTGAAGCAGGTTTTAGAAATAACTGCATTTTACAGATGGGGAAACTGAGTCTTAGAGGTTAGGTTCATCACTGTGTTCACAGCGATCCAGTGACAGAGCTAGGATGTGAACTCGTCTTACTTTCAAACTCAGGCTCTGCAATCAGCTTGCAAGGTAGGAATGATAATATAGCATAAAGTAAATGTAAGAATTGTTCTCATCCCCTCTGGAGTCGTGGGTCTGGCCAGCTGATGAATGGTTGCCCAGGGAACCTGCGAATTTGAGGAGCTTCTGGAAACAGCTCTTTAACATATGAATGCCTTTTCCTGGAGCCCCTTTTTCTGACGGGAAACCTGTGTCCCCTTCCCTTATCTTCTTTGTGGAAACTGCAGATCTGCAGCGGGCCTCCTCCTCTGTCTCTGGCTTTCTTGACGGACAGATGGAAGGCAGACTCGGGAACAAGCGCCATAGGGTCTTAACCCGCGTGGGATTTGAGCAAGTTTTTGCTTCCACAGGCTGTGAACACACACCTACCCCAAGCCCCGCAAAGCAACCCTCCAAGCTAGGCTCTCACCTGCAGAGCACATCTTTCGTGAAGGACCTGATCGCTGAGTTACGCGTAGACACGGAGGCTCCACGCTGATCCGAGACTGGAGTAAGGAACAATGAGGAAGAACTGCACATGCGCAGACGGGGCTGCCAAGGACCGGTCCCCGGGGCGCTCCCGGGACGATCCATCAAATTCCAGACTCTGTTTCCCACAAGTCTCCGCGCCCCCTTCCTTAGGGAATGTCTGAAGAGTTTCTGGCTTATTTGGGGGATTTGTAGTCCAAAGTCATCTCTACTTTTGTTTGGAGCCCTAATTCCTCATAACCCACCAGGTAGGGGATTTGAACGCTCTCCACCTACAATCAGTGTCACTTCAGACGTAAAGCTACAGTGAGAAGAAGGAAAGGTGTTTGCCAACTGCACATCTGAAAAATTAATGAAAGCCAAGCAACATAGAATATTTACAGAAAATAAAGCCAAGCAGCAAGTAAAAGATCGTTAATCACGACCAGCAAGTTTTTTTCCCCAGAATGCAAATACCTCCTCCACTGAAACTGAATTTCAAAAGTAAAAACCTCACATAATGGCAAATACACATAAATCAAAGGAAAACTTAATCTAAGAAGTACACTCATAATCTCCCTTCCAGGGATGACCATGGTCAATGTTAGGTGATATTTTTATTGAAATGGGACTCCAAAATCTCAATGAGTTATTTGGGTCTTTTCATTGAACATGTTGTTAATAATATCGTTGCTCTTTTAAACTTTTTATTTTGAAATATTTTAAACTCACAGAAAACTTTCAGGGATGATTCATTCTGGATGATCACCTGTAAATCATTTACTGAGATTCACCAACGGCAAATATCTGACTCCTTGCCTTTTGCCTACTCATCCTCATCACCAGTTGAGAGGGATTTGTGCAAGTTACAAATATGAACTGTCACCCCTAAAACTTTAGCATATATCTCCTAGAACAAGGGCATGTTTTAAACATAACCACTACACAATGATCAAACCCAATAACTGAAACAGATATAACAGTATTATCTAAAATCTAGACCATATTCAAATTTTACCCATTGTTATAATAATATCCTTCATATTTTTTTCTTTTCTGATTCAGGAGTCAATTGAGGATCATTTTTACATAGAGTTGTCATATTATTTAGACCCCTTTAATCTAGTTCCTTGGCCTCTCTCTGTCTTTCAAGACATTGTTAATTTTGAAGAGGACGCAACAGTTGTTTTGAAGAATGTTCCTTCATTTGGGTTTGTCTGATTGTTGCCTCACAATTTGATTCAGGTTATACATTTCTTGGCAGGAATCCTACATAAGGAATGTTATGCTCTTCTTGCTATATCATGCTAGGTCAGTGTGATAATGTCAGTTTATCCCATTTTTGATAAAACAAATTTTTGGCACAACTCTCCCTTATTAATCTACCCTTTTGGTAACAATGTATTGATCTCAAATCTAGCACAGATAGCAGAAAGATATAAAGTACCATAGACTTTGTATTGATTCAAGTTGGAAGATAACTTTTACACTAAAATTAACACATACTGAAGAGATAAACAGTTCTCAAAGTTTACACACGTATAGAAATGAAAAATGAATAAAATTTTTAATTAAGGATTATTACATTTCAAATTATTTAAAGGGAAGCATACTTTCAAACACCCTAGGAACAAGCCACTCAGCATTATGTAACCTTGGAAGAACTCTGAAACAGTATTTTTCCACCAGCAAA